GCTGGCACTGCCAGCTGTGACCATCCCTGTGGATAACAGCTTGCCATGGCACCGGGACCAAGTGAGGGCGGCGATTGCTGCTGGCTGCGTTTCCAGCCGCGAGGCAGCAGCAGCCAAAGCAGCACCGGGAAAAGCGTCTGCTGCGGGCTGCAGGGAGAAGCGCTGCAACCTGCAAAAGCACCAGATGGTGCCATGGCTTCAGTTATTTCTCCATGCCTCCGACTCGGAGCTCAGCTTCCCCTCCTCTGAGGGCTGTGCCGTCCTCCTTCTTCCCAGCGATCCCAGGGGAACCCGGCCTGGCTAGAAAAATAGAGTTTTACTTGCTTAACAACGAGACAGGGCCATTAATTAGTCACACGGATTAAAAAGGAGAATAACTTAAAGTCTAGTGATGCCGCCAAGATGCCACCTGAGGGCTGGGGTGGATTATTCCCACTTCCATTCTTAAAATTGCTGATACTTTTAATGTATTCAGGGAAAAGAAATCCCAGGCTCTTGCACGTTCCTCAGTCTGCTGATTTTACCGAGTTGTTAACTGCATTCAGAGTTTTCCTGTCAGGAATCAGGTGAGCTGGTTACACACCTATATTCCTGAATCTCTCAATTTTAAGGAAAATCAAGTTCCCGACACTTGATACAGATTTCTTCCTGTTTCTTTCTTTCCCCCAAATCTTGGGACCCCAAGAAGCGAGGGAACTGCAGAATTTATTAGGGCTAAATAATAAACCAACGTTTTCCCCTTAAAATGTGCCAGAAGGAAATGTAACAGATATCCACAGCTTGTAGAGGCAGGGAATGCTGTTCCCTGTCAGGGGAAGGCAGAAGGAAAGGCCTGAAAACCCAGCAGGACCCAAGGCCTCAGCCCAGATGGTTTTAGTGGGCAGAAGATGGACCACGATGGGGAGCAACGTGTCCAGTGCCCACCCAAGAAGAGAAGGTGGAGAAGGAGCAGCCTCCACCCTAAAACCTCCATCTTGCTCCATATATATATTATATCCTAAACCCCAAACTCTGAGTTTTCCACCCCGTGACATCACACACTCCTAACCAACTCCACACCCACAATCCCAGCGCTCTCAAGGAATTTTGGAAGCCTCTCCAGGGCTCAGGCCACGTGCAGAGCTCTCCTGCGGGTCTGTGCCTTTCAGCACAGAAAGCCCAAAACTTTGAGGAGCCAGGGCTCCAACACTGAGGAACTACAGGATTGTGTGTTCACTTCCAAAGAGGGCATTGTGGGAGGAAGAGGAACAGAACCCGTGCAAGGAAGAGGAACAGAATCCGGGGCAGGACATGAGCCACAGGGAAGGATTTTCTCTGGTGCCATGTCCTGAGGGCACAGATATTCCAGTGCCAGGTTGGGAATGGGCTGTGGGGAGCAGCCCTGGATCCTCCTCTGAGACACCAAGGTGGAATTTTATACTCATATAGATATATATTAAAAAAATTTATATGTTCACGTGTGTCCCCCAGGGAGTGCTCCTGGGCTGGGTTAAATGCCCAGAAATCAGCTCACGGACCCGAAGGTGCCTCTGCTTGATCCACACCCCAGCACGTCCCCGACTGCAGCGTGCCTGCCACAGCCTGTGACAGACCCGGGCTGGCAGTGGCCCGGAGGTGCCACGGAGTCCTTGTGGGCACTCATCCTTGGGACAGAGCAGGATCTGTGTCCCTGAGGCTCAAGGCAGTGCCCGTCGCACCCAGCAGGTGCCCGCCATCCCTGGGGAGGCAGGCCTGGAGGAACCTGTGGAGGCTGCAGCACGCTCCCTGCCCGTGGCATCGCAGCCCTGGCATCTGGCCTGGCAGAGCCCACCGCCCTGCCAAGGTGAGACTCCCAGCCCAGCTTCTCCACTCTAAACCCACACCCAGCACCAGAGAGGCCTGAACTGAAGGGACAGGAGACCAGCCGGGCTCACTTTTGAACCGGGAGATGCAGCAGACCCTGGAGTAAGGAACAATTGTGTGGAAGTGCAGCAGCACCAACGCTGCCATTTTATCTCACACCCACTACCTCCAACAGGACACAGCCCCAGGCCTGCTGCTCCCTCTCAGGGCTTTGCAGGGGGAGGAAGCTGGGATCAAGAGGCCTGGGATGAAGGCAGGACATAAAAGAAACAATGGGAAGGATTCCACTGATTGATGAATGGAAAGAGGTATTTGCTTTTACAAATAAGCTTTAGGTTTGCCGATAAATGAAATTGGATATTGAAAGAGGAAAGAAACAATGGGGGGAAACCCTAAATTAAAAATTAAAAGAGAGGGTTACAGATTAGAGAGAAATCTCTGGTAGCAGGCATATTGGGAAGTCTGCACCTCTCAAGTACTTCAGCCAATGGGGAGAGAGAGAAGGGAAATGCAGCCGGGAAATTGGGATAAAAAGGAGGAGGCTGCATCCTCCAAAACTTGGGGACAGCCCAGGGGAATGCCCCATGGCCTCTCCCTTTGTTTGAATAAAGTGAAAGGATTCCTCTGTCTCCGTTTTGGACATAAAGCCCTGATGTTTGCGGGTGAATTTTCCTGACATTTCCTTCCCTGCACACCGCAGGGGCAGGACTGCCGAGCGCAGCTCCGGGTTACACCGGGGATCCCAGGAACACTCCCTGCATTCCACGGAATAAATGGCATTTGGGATTCAGCACTCCCAGTGGGGAGCCCCCAGCCCAGCTCCCGGGTCATCCCAGGTGGATTTAAGGCTCAGCCTTCCCCCGACGCTTCGCTCTGGGCTTGTGCTTCCCCACAGAGCTCCCACCCGCTCTCCCCCGGCTCCTTTCCCTCGTTTTTGGGGTTTTAACACTATTACATCTCAGATCCAACCAGCTCAAATACTTTTTAATACATTGAAAATGTAAAATAAAGCATATACGAAGTACATACAGTATATATATATACACATATTTCAAATACTTAAAATTCTTATGTAAAATATGATTTTTTTCTATATTATTTGTGTAAAAATACATTTTCAAATGGTGTCACCTCGATTTTGCTGTACAGACCCTCAAGCCCAATCGAAGTCCCTTTTATAAAGGCAAAAGACAAAGGTTTAGGATTTTTGGAACTATGTTTACAGGCCTGTTGTCCACACAGGAAAAGCCTCTGGGAAACAGTATTGGATTGCTTCTTTGTGAGAATTCCCGTTTTTATTGCATTAATAACGTCAGGAACAGAACCTTCTCAGTTGTGCTGCAGTGAAACCCCCTGGCCCGGCCGAGGAACTGCCCCCGGTACCCTGTGACCAC